TCTTGTTTTCTTCCCGGCAGTGGCTGTGAGCAGAGCTCAGGTGCAGCAGGAGCCGTCGGCAGAGACCAGCGAGGGCATCGGCATCAACATCACTTGCTCACACCCCAACATCCAGTCTTATGATTACATCTACTGGTACCGACAGCTCCCGGGCCGAGGACCCGCATTCCTCGTCAGCGCCGTTAGAGGCTCCAAGCAGGTGCCGGACCCGGAGGGGCAGGTGTTTGTGTCGGCAGACCGCCGCTCCAGCGCCCTGTGGCTCGCCCGGCCCCGGCTCGGCGACGCGGCCGTGTATTACTGCGCCGTGGGCACACGGGAAGCGAAGCCGGGGCTGCGGCCGGGCACGAACCGCTTGGGGCGGGGCGGGGGCACAGTGCCGTCCGGGCCCGCAGGGGGCGCTGCCTGCATGGCCGCCAAACTCCATCCTGACCAGGATGCACCTCCATGAGTTCTCGAGAAAAATGAGCCCGGCACTCATACCAGCCACTGACTGAGGCCAGTTTGAGTCAGACAGTTATGTCCGAAGTGAGTAGGACAGCACAATTGACAGCACGAGCTGTGTTTGACAGCAGAGAAGGTGGATGGAAATTATCCACATAGTTTTATTCCACCTTCTATCTTCACATTCTTCCCCACTGTCACACTGATGAGAGCAGGTGGAGCTCTGTTCCTGGGAGCCTGCAGGGTGGTTTGCCTCCATCGCCTCCCACACACTCCTAGTTTTTCCTGTGAGCATAGCAATGTCTTTGTTCTCTCTTTGCTGGATGTGTGAGGGTCACTGTTGGAAGAAACACGGTAAGGCAAAGGCCAGTGGCCACATCTAGCGCCCAAGAGAGGAGCTCTTCAATGTGTCACAACATACCACTCTTCTGGGAACTGAGACTGGTTTTCTTAAACACTCATCTTACAGCCACAAAGAAGAAAGACATTCTCCCTGAGCAGCTTTGGAGGCCATAAACAATGGGAATCATAGAATCATAGAATTGTTTGGTTAAGAATCTGAATAAACAAAGTCTACTAGTCCTGTTCAACCTAAATTATTCTAAGATTCAGTGGGACGTAAGAAGAGTAAGAATAGTTGCATTTTCTATGTTTGTTAAAGGAAGGAAGAAGTGGACAAACAGAGATTACAACAGGTTTACACGTGGAAGGGATTTTTTTTTTTTTTTATAATTTCTTCCCAGTGATCTTTTAAGAAAGCAAACTTTGAGATGGGATGAGATAGCTTGCAGTATTTTTTTTTTTAACATATAGTTCAGAATATATTTTTATTCTTCTTTTTAGCATTATTATTCTATTATAGTGGTTTGATGAAGTCCTTTTGAGACAGCCTTTGTTGGAGCCTAGTTCCTCACTTCAGTTGCACATTGGCCCACTCCATCCAAACACAGAGAGACACCTGGGGCTGCTTTACTGCAGGGTTCCTTGCCTCTTTCTGGGGACTTGGGGAAAATATATTGTTGCCAGGTGATGGAGGAAGGAAAAGGGAGAGGTGGTATATGGAGGACATCTGATCCCATAAGTAAAGTTACAATTTCTAAATAACTGGAGTCCTGAGGAGAGGATAAGTGGGGCAGAACATCAGAAACTCTACAGTGTCCATTAGGCAAGTACAAAAGAGTAGGTATTTATTGCAACAGATGGGAGGACTCCGCTGGAAACTCAGATCAGGAACACAGCCTCCCTGGCACGGGTACTCCAGAGTCACCACATCTCCAAACTGTGAAGATTTAGGCTGAGGAAGAGACACGTGTAACAGCTGAAGGAGGGAGGATCCCAACTTCATCCACACTGAAGCATAAGGACAAGCATATTCTCCTCCTCAATTTATTCTTTTGGTCTCTTTGCCAAGTCATTTCCTGCAGCTCTGCAGCTCTGTTCTCTTAGGACTGTTGGTGGAGATGTGTGGTTTTTTGAAGCTCTCTGACACATGCAGAAGGATCAGTCTCAGCATGCACCTCAGGTATCTCATCCTCACTGCCTGAAGCAATCAGTGACTTTAGCTGATGACATGTTTCTTCTCTCCCGGAGACTCTTCCCCCTATCAAATTCTCTCCTCCAAGAACTGCTCTTGAATTATTGGAAAAAATGCTGGGAAGCATTAGATCATGTCTTGCTTTCTCCACCCGTTTTCTCATGATGCTGTTAACACTAGAAAAGAAAAGATGAAGTAGAGAAGACCATCTCAATCATCTCGGACCTCCTTCCAGTCCTTCCCTTTTACCAACCATTCTCATCCCTTTGCCTGTCCCTGCTGATCTGTCTGGGCCCAATGTTTCACATATGTATTATTGCAGAAGATTTTTTCTATTCTTTAAATATAATTTTTTGGCTTGGCAAGATACTCATAGAAGACAGCTCAAATTGGATGCAGGAACGCAGAAGCTTCTCATCCCACTTTGGTGTTCTGCCAGCCTCTGTTTTGTCTGGCACATGTAATAGAGCATGCACTGAATACTCATTTCCTTCTGCATGCCAGAGCTAGCATAGCTTTCTTTTCCCTCCCTTCCCTAGGTCCATCTGAGGGGAAATGGAAGGGGTACCCAGCTCTCCCTTGGCAGTGCTGCTTCCCCTGAGCACTCAGAGATCTGCAGAGAATCCTCTTACAGAAGGGGCTGAATTCAGTGGCTTGAGAGGAAAGACAAGGTGATAAAAAAGATAACACCCTGGAGCTCTCCTCCCTGGAGACGACCATTTTTACCATGAACTGTGAAGAGGGCATGTGGTCCATTCTGAGTTGTATGCTATTCTGCCCAGCAGGGGCTGGAAGAAATCAGTCAGAGACTTGCTTCAGCCTGGCAGAACCATGCAAAATTCATTCCTGTCCTCTGACTTTTTCCCAACTCCCAGCAGGCTGGACCTTGCCTGGGAGGGCATTTCTAGAGAACATAATGGTGCTGGTACATGACTTCAGCAAGAATTTGATTCCCCAGGCTCCACCTGGGGAAATCCCCAAGTTGAGAGGAGATGGTGCAGGTTTTCGTGTGCATTTGACAAACCCCCGTGGAAATATCCCCCCACTTTGCTCCATTCAGGTTGGCCTCATGTCATGGTTTTGTGGTTTGTTATCAATATTCCACATCACAGCATCATGTAGCGTGCTGGGAGTTAAAGATTTAATGCTGCTGTTCTGTTCTCAGAAAAGAAGAGCAAACTGCAGCTCCCAGAAGACTTTATTATTCTTTTTCTGTTTTCTATTCAGAGGGAAAGATAAAACTGATTGGGAGTCATGAGATTGTTCTGCTTTTGCCCACCTTGGCTCTGTGTGCTCGCTGGCTGTCTCATCTACAGCATTAGAGTAAGGCCCTCACTTTTGGACATCCTCTTTCATTTATTTGATTTATTAGCTTCAATTCAAATTACGCTGTATTATATTGTATTATTTCACAATTCACTATCATTTTTAGTAAATTAGTTTTTTCCTTAGGTTGTGACCACTGCTTTCTCTTATCTAGGCCCATCTCCCTACCACTCCCCTACCCCCCTTCCCCGTTTTCCAGGGCATTGGACTGTGGCTCACTTTGTCCCCCAGTCACTGGACTAGGACAGACCAGGCCAAGCTACGACATTTTTTGGGTGCGTTGGCCAGGAAATCAAACCAAACTTTTTAACCAACCACACACAAAAGAGAGATTTATTAGAATGCCATATGGAGAGCCATAGCTCTTCATTAGAGAGCTCTGATGCTCTGACCTTCACAGAAAGACTAGACAGAGCAGAGTGTTATGCCAAGTTTGAGCACTGCACCAAATTTTATCATTATTATCATTATTATTATTGGCACCATGCCAACTGTGAAACTGTTCTTTATTTTAGAAGGCTTGTATAAGGGATTAAATGCCATTATGATCAGAATTATAATTCATAGAATGTACTGGTTTCTTATGAAGTCTCCAATTTTCTGTTTTGCAGCTATATATATATATACATACATACATAAAACAAATGAGAAGCACTGGTGGAGACGCCTATCTGATACCTGTATGCAATGTGATATGGTTTGAGTACTGAAAGTTGCATCCCAGAAGGAGTAGATAATTTTGTAGACCACACGGTGTTTAAACAGGCTTTTAGATTCTCCTCTTGGTTTCCCATATGTTTTTTAAATGCTCTATCTATAACACTTATGTTGATCATGTTATCAATCTCCCTGAATGTATTCCTTCCCATTTACATTATCTGCAGGAAGCCTTCCCCAAACCCAGAGAATACTGAGTGGCAGGAAGTGTGGAGAGGTTTAGGAAAAATCTGACAGAGATGGGGACTTGCAGTGTCATTAAATTTCACTCTTGAACACCTGCGGAACCCCAAGAACCTAAGAAAATATTTAAGTCAGCGATGTTATGGCTTAGGTAGATCTGAGGAGGCATAAATTATTTGGGACATGGCTTGTGTTTACCAAGTCCTATACAATACTACTTTGGAGAGAGAGAGAGTTTCCAAGCTGAGATCCAAGCTGAAAGGGGAAGTCTCTGAGTTGAATGAGAAATAAAGAGCATTAAAACTGCGCAGCCTAATCAATTAGAGAAGGCACCAGCATCAATGTCAGTATCAATTGCCCCTGTGGGTGGACAGAAATGGAAATGGGTGTGATTGCATCAAGAATGGAAAGAAGATGCAGAGGAAGCAGAGGAAGACCCAGACGAGGGGCCTTCTACAAAACCACAGTCACTGAGAAAGGCAACAGCTAAAACTAAAAGACAAGAAGAGGAGAGCAAGGAGGAGGAGGCCACCGTTACCACTACTCATCAACCTCTGAAAATGACTGAAATCCAAGGTTCAAGAAAAGAGTTTGCACAGCATCCACATGGGCTTATTGTCACCTGGTAGCATCAGTGTTGGGACACTGAGGCCAATTGCATATTGCATGGTGGTAACAAAGCTTACCAACTGGGAAGCATTGCTAAAGACTCAGCTATTGGCAGAGGAATTAGTAGACATCTGGATGGAGCAGTCACTCTCTGGGAATGAGTGCTATTAGCCATAAAGGAAAAACACCCCCTCAAAGACGACCTGAAGCCTGAGATGAAGAAATGGACCACTATGGGAAAAGGTATCCAGTATTAGGGGGAAATAACCATGGTGGAAATGTTGTATGACCCTATGTTTGCTCCTAATGGTCCTCATGAAGAGCATGATCCTGAGAGAGTTAGGAGTATGTCGAGTATATGGTGGAAACTCACAAGAACATTACCAGGAAAGTACACTGGCACACGAGAAGCAATGTTTGAAAGATATGAGGAACAACAGAGAAGACCCCTAGTGTCTGAACTGATTGTCACACTTCAAAACTTTGAACAGTTACCTCCACTACACGCTTATATTTCAGCCACCTCAGAAGTAACAGAAAGACCAAATAAAACGGAGAAGAAGCAGGATGGTGTACTGGAGGAACTGTCTCTATAGGTTAAGAACACTGCACTAAGAACACAGGTGAGAGAATTACAAAACGGATCAACCACCAAGGTGATTGCTCAAGTTACTGCAGGTCCTGACCGTGACTCACAAAAGAACAGTGCAGGTAACAAGCAGTGGGGCTATGCCCTCAGCCAGGATTGGGAGGAAGGGGATAATAGAGTTTATTGGACTGTTTGGTTTTTATGACCTGGCACATCAGACCCACAGGAATATAGAGCACTGGTAGACACTTGTTCACAGTGCAGTCTAATGCCCTCGAGTCATGAAGGGACAGAACCAATTTACATTTCTGGAGTTATTGGGGGTTCTCAAGAATTGACTGTGTTGGAGCCCAAAATAAGCCTCACTGATAAAGGCTGGCAAAAGCATTCTATTGTGACTGGGCCAGGGGCTCCATCTGTATTTGATATGGATATCCTAAGATGAGGGAATTTTAAGGATCCAAAGGGGTATTGATGGGCCTTTCTAATAGTGCTGTAGACACAGAAGATATTAAGCAGTTTTGCCTGGCCTACCAGAATATTTGTCTGCTGTGGGGGAAGCAACAGGTACTGACTGCACAGACGGCAGTACCGCACCAACAGGGATTCCTTGCTCCTCATTCATAAACTGATTCGTCAACTAGAAAGTCAGGAGTGATCAGCAAAACTCACTCACCTTTTAATAGTCCCATACAGCCAGTGGAAAATGGAGGCTGGTGGTACATTACTGTGACCTGAATGAAGTCACACCCCCACTGAGTGCTGCTGTACTGGACACGTTAGAACTCCAGTACAAATTGGAATAAAAAGCAGTCAAGTGGTATGCTGCCACTGACAATGCCAATGCATTCTTCTCCATTCCTTTGGCCACAGAATGTATGCATTCATGTGGAGGGGGTTCATTATACCTGGAACCATTTGCCCCAGGATGGGGAGGACAGCCCAACTATTTGCCATGCGTTGATATGGACTGTACTGGACCACGGTGCAGTCCCCTGTCATGGGTATAGGCCAGATCGGGCTGAACTGTGACACTTCAGGAGGGCATTCACATGAAAATGCAGCAGGCGGTGTAGGTTTTTTCCTGAGTGGGCACTAGAGTACAAATCTGGCAGTGCTGAATGACGTAGGCTTCAGCTGGACAATAGGGCTTACAGTTTCTGTCATCCTTCTTAATTATCTTCACAAATCTGAAAAAGGAAAAAGCTTGTAAGACACTGGCGTTCTTAGCCTAGCAGTATCAGGACCATGTATGTGAGACCAGGCACCAAGTAACATCTGTGGGCGGTCTAGACATTTTCCATGGGTGGTCTAAAGGAAGCAGGTAATTTGAAAGGGCTGTAAAGTCTCTTGAGTATGTCCTTGTCAGGCTGACTTCAATATCATCTTGAGAATCCTCTCAACCCTGCAAAAATGTGTACCTCCTGGGCTGTGCACACAACTCTTTCTGACCCCTGCAAATAAAACTTCTTTTTTCTCCAACTGGTCATCAAGCCATTGACTGCAACTCGTAAGTGGAACCATTCAACCTACTGCTTATCCACTGGGTGGACCATCTTTCAAATCTATCTCTCCAAATTAAAGACAAGAATGTCACATGTGACAGTGGAGAATCCTTTTCAGAGAATGAAGGTCTCCCCCTCATGTCCTCACCTTATCCGCTGTCAACAAACATTGCCTTTCTTCCTTGGCAACTGGAGGCTACTGTAAAAAGGATCATGTGGAGGCAGAAGTTGGGATGCAGAAAACTGTAATGACTCCAAAAAGAGAAATGATCTCCCTGTCAGAGAACCCTGTCAGTGAAGGGAGTACCAGGAGCTGACAGAATCTTGTGCCCATCATCTATTTCAGACATCCCACTGAAGACCTATCTGGCTGTCCCACAGAGGGAGAGCAGCCAGATGATCCCCAGGAAGGCTTTTGGGATCTAAAGGCCTGCAAGGACAGAAGACAGGAAAGAGAGAAGAGAGAACAGAAGACAGGGAAATTAGGCTGTACCTCTCTTCAGACTGAGGGAAGGTCATGGAACAGATCCTCCTGGAAGCTATGCTAAGGCACGGAGCTGACCTGCTTACCTGCATGGTAAGGCAGGGAGCTGATAGGGGAGAACCAGCATGGCTGCACCAAGGTCAAATTATATTTGACCTACTTGATGGCCTTCTATGATGGTGTCACTGCATCGATGGACAAGGGAAGAGCCACTGATGTCATCTATCTCAACTTCTGTAAGGCCTTTGACACGGTACAACACATCATCCTTCTCTCCAAAATGGAAAGATATGAATTTGATGGGTGGGCTGTTCGATGGATGAAGAACTGGCTGCAGGATCAAGTCCAGAGAGCGGTGGTCAATGGCGCAATGTCTGGATGAAGAGCAGTGATGAGTGGTATCCCTCAGGAGTTGGTGCTGGGGCCAATACTCTTTAATATCTTCATCAGTGACATCGACAGTGGGATCGACTGCGTCATCAGCAAGTTTGACACACCAAATGGACAGGATGCCATTCAGAGGGAGCTAGACAGGTTTAAACAGTGGGCCCAGATGAACGTCATGAGGTTCAAGAAATCCAAGTGCAAGGTCTTCCACCTGGGTTAAGGGAACCCCACTGCCAGTACAAACTGGGAGATTAAAGGATTGAGCACAACCCTGCCAAAAAAGACCTGAGGGTACTGGTGGATGGCAAGCTGGACATGAGCCAACAATGTGCCAACATGAGCCAGCATGAGCCAACAATGCAGCTTAGAAAGACAGCCATATCCTGCCCTGCATCAGCAGATGCATGGCCAGCAGGTTGAGGGAGGTGATCCTTACCCTTTGTTCTGCACTGGTGAGACTTCATTTGGAATACTGTGTCCAGACGTGAAGTTCTCCGTACAGGAGTGACATGGACCTGTTGGAGAGTGTCCAGGGAAGAGCCACAAAAATGAATGGAACTCCCCTCCTATGAGGACAGGCTGAGAGAGCTGGGACTGTGCAGCCTGGAGAAGAGAAGGCTGCAAAGTGACCTGAGAGCAGCCTTTCAGTATCTGAAGGGGAGCTATGGGAAAGAAGGGAACAGACTCTAGCAGAGTCTGTGTTGATAGAACAAGAGGAAATTGCTTCAGGATCAGGGAGGGTAGATTTAGGTTAGATGTAAGGAAAAAATATTTTACAGTGAGGATGGTGAGGCACTAGTGATGTGGTTGATGCCCCATCCCTGGAGACTTTCAAGGCAAGACTGGATAAGGCCTTGGGTAACCTGATCTAACCTTGGTGTCCCTGTTCATTTCAGGGAGTTGGCCCTCAGAGGTCCCTTTGAACTCTAAGGATTCTGTGATTCTATCATCCCAGGTGTCACACAGCCCTATTTGTCACTATCTGCTCTGTGTCTCTCCTAATCTTGGAAGGAATATCCTCACCTGTGACACAGTGGGGAGTGATTAGCACCTACGGATCTCAACATTTTCCTTGTTGTCTGGCTATGGAGTGGGTACCATTAATATCATTGTCCATTTCTACTGTGATGATGGGCCTCTTCTGAAGTTGGCTTGCAGAGTACAACGTTGACTTACACCCTTGACTTTATGGTTCCTATCTTCATCATACAATGTGATGTTTTCCATGGCTGTTTCCAAACATCTGCAATATCTTTATAGTTCTCCCTGTTCCCTCTCTCACTCACCTGAACCCATTCTCCACTTCTGCTTCATGTGTCACCATCATTCCCTGAGGAGCTTTCTTGCAGTGTTTACCAAAAAGTATTCTGCAGTTGAGACTAGCATTGTTTAGGCACTGGATGAGGATTCCCTATGAAGTAGTCACGGCACCAAGCCTGCTGGAGTTTAAGAAGTGTTTGGACAATTCTCTCAGACATAAGGTTTAATTTTTCGTAAATACTGTGCAGAGAAGGGACAGGGACTCATTGACAACTGAATGTCAGCCTGGGTCACTACTTAGGGGTTCATAAGGGCCCTTCTAGCAAAAGGTGTACCTGCTCCTGGATGTCTCTGGATGACACTGCTCTCTGAAAAATTCACACGACCCGTTCCCGCTGCAGGGTTTCCAGAGCTGCGGCAGCGCAGGACAGCTCCACACTCCACAGTCGGGGGACGAGGGGCTCAGCCGATGCCGTGCTCAACACTTCGACACGATGCCCTCCCGCCGGCCACTCTCGCTGGGGACGCTGCAGGCGAGCTGCTGCTTTCTCCTTGCCTGAAGAGCTTTCCCCAGATCTCCTCGCACACGGCCGTGCCGTGGGCACCGCAGAAGCACGCGCACAGCCCAGCTCGCAGCAGCCAGAGTCCCGCTACCCGCCCACAGGCGCCCAGCGCTCGCAGCCCGGAGCAAGCCCGACTGACGCCGGCGCAGGGCGCAGCCCCGGGGCGGAGCTGGCGGCGGCGGCGGGGAGGAGGCGCCGCGGGCGGAGCAGAGCCGGGGCTGGCGGGGGCAGCGCGGCGCGGCGCGGCCCGGGCGGCGGAGCGGCGGGATGCGGCAGTGCCGGGCCGCGGGGCTGGCGGGGCTGGCCGCGGTGCTCCTGGGTGCGCGGGGCTGCCGCCGGCGGGGCCGGACTGCGGGGGCAGCGGGGGCCTGGACCGCGCTCATCTCTGTCCGTACGGCTTCTTTCTGACCTTTCTCCTTTCTATTGGAGTAAAGGGATTTTCTGACTTTTTCTTGTTTTCTTCTCGGCAGTGGCTGTGAGCAGAGCCCAAGTACAGCCGTCGGCAGTGACCAGCGAGGACACCGGCATCAACATCACTTGCTCACTTCCCCATATACAGCGCACCGATTTCATTTACTGGTACCGCCAGTTCCCGGGTCGGGGCCCCGCATTCATCGCGTTCATTCACGAAGGCTCCAAGGAGCTGCATGACTTGGCTGGGCGGCTGTGGGTATCGGCAGACCGCCGCTCCAGCACCCTGTGGCTCGCCCGGCCCCGATACGGGGACGCGGCGGTGTATTACTGCGCCCTGAACCCACGGGGTGTGGAGTCGGGTCTGCGGCATAGCAAGAACCGCTTCGGGCGGGGCAGGGCGGGCGGGGGCACAGTGCCGTCCAGGCCCGCAGGGAGCGCTGCCACTCCTTCCACCGGGGCCGCCTCTCCCCTCCCGGCCCCGCCCGAGCTGCCATTGCTGACATGGAACGTGTCCCTCGCACTGCTCGGCATCCCCCAGAGTAAGGGATTCCAGCTGCGCACCTTCATGAGCACGGCATGTCGAGATCACAGACACCTTCGAGTGGTCCCCACTGTGGCTCTGTTTTAAGACCATGCTTGTGTGACAGGATTCGGGGTCTTTGGAGGTGAGGTCCAGGACCACTTTTTAATTAAACCCCCATGGACAACTCAGCTCCACACAGCCTCAGGGTCGCTGGGTGGGATGGAGGAGAGAATAAGGAAAGGTGAATGCAAGACCAAGAACTCATGGGCTGAGACAGTATATAAGGCAAGCTCAATGACAAGCAGGCAAGTAAACCAAAACAATGAATTCATTCACTACGTCTAATCAGTAGGCATGTATGCAGGCACATGTTCAGCCACTTCCAGGAAAGCAGGGCTCATCACGCAGAACAGTTTCTTGGGAAGACGATCACCATCTCTCCAAACATCCCCACTGTCTTTCTTCTTCAGCTTTTGTTGCTGAGCATAACCTCAGATGGCATGGAAAGTCTTTGGTTGGTTTGGTCAGCTGTTCTGACAGTGTCTCCTCCAAGCTTCTTGTGAATGAATCCTCACTGTCAGAGCGGCATCAGAGAGAGGAAAATCCTTTATTCTGTATAAACACTGCAATGACTACAATCCGGATGAGGTGATCAGATAAGAACTTGGAGTAGGTGCACTGCAACCCCAAGAGATGCCAGGTTCATACTGCAGGATGGATCGACTCAGAGAGTTGTGCAACATTATTCTAAGCAGTTGAATGTCTGAGGTTAGCGAGAGGTGGAACGATGCCTCTGGAAAGAGGCTCTGAGATCCAGATGGTCACAGGGAAAATCTGTCTAGCTCCACCAGCTGACCCAGCTGTTTAAGCCCATGTTCAAAGGCTTCAGAAGCACAGAGCAAAGGATCAAATCCTAAACGTTTTCCTTCCCCTAAACATCCCATGTCCAGTGCAATTCCCAAATACATTTCTACAGCATCCCATACAGAATCTGAAGTGTGAGAGTTGTACTCCACCTCAGGGTTGAGGTAAGGACAGGGCATGTGTCAGAAAGAGAGATGGGACAGAGAGAAATGGAAGAAGGGAAAGAGACGGAGGCACATAGAGAAAAGCACCTCCAAGAGGTACTGGAAGGTGGATGAGATGAACCATTCCTGCCTGGGTGGAACAAGAAAGCCATGGTCTGGATCCCACCTGGAGGTGGAATTCAGGTCTGTCCTCATGCTGGGATGGACCCTAAGATCCATGAGGGAGGACTCGGGGTCCTGCAGGGAACACAGATATTTGAGACAGCAAATAATAGTAAACACTTTGAAAAAGACAGGGCAGAAATGGACTCATTCAGGAAGGAGTTTCTACGGGCCTGAATATATATTTGC